TAACGTCTAGATAATATTAATATAGTTATTCTTAATCTATTATTAGCTAATAAAATAGGCGCTTACTTTAGTATTAATAAAGCTAATATTAGTTTTCTATTTCTTAGATATTTAAAGTTAATACTTAAAGTTTATCTACTTTACTAGATAGAGACTTTCTATAGTTAAGCATTTACGCTAAGATAGTAGTATAGCTTTAGAGACGTAAACTAGTCTAGATAGTATAGTTATCTCTAATTCTAATACTCTTAAGGTAGTAGCTTTTAGTTATTTATAGTACTTTACTATAAAATAGGTTTTCTTTAGTAATTTACTTTACTTTAGCTTCTAATTATAATTTTGTTTAGAAGCGTCTAAAAATAAGCCTTAGCTTAAGAGTTAATAAGATATTTTTTATTATCTACTTTACTATTCTTATCTTTAGTATAAGGTTAATAGTTACTATTAAAGCTATTATTACTAGGTTTATTATAAATAGTATTATTAACTTTATTAAAGTTAGTGTTTATTACGTTTAGTAATAAACTCTAAATTTAATTAAAAGAAACTACTTATACTTTAGAGTAATTAGTACTTTAGTAAGTTTTATTACTATACTTAAAGTAGACTTTATTTTTAAATAAAATATTACGCTAAATATTAGTGTAACTAAATCTAGTAAAGCGCTTAGCTATTTAGGTAAAGCTATACTTTTAGTTTAGTAAATAGTTTCTAGAAAATTAATATTAAAACTTATAAGTGTTATAGTTATTAGAGCGCTTTATAGTAGCTATAGTAGAAGTAGACTAATAATTAATCTTTTTCTAGTTTAAGTTTTAGTCTTATACTTAGTTTAAGAAGATAACTAAGATCTCTTTATAGAAAAAACTATTAGTAGTAGTAGTAGTAAGACTAGAGTAAAGAAACTAATATGTATAAGTAATTATTTTATAGTTAGACTTCTTAAGAATAGTATAGACTTTTATAAACTACTATTTCTAAGATATAAAAGTTTCTCTATTCTTCTAAATAAAAGAGTTATTATAAAGTAATAACTTAGCTTTTATCTTCTTTTTATATAATTTAGTAGTAAAGTATAAGTTTAAAGCTTCTAGAATATTAAGAAAGTTCTTAGAACTCTTTATATTATAATAGATAAAGTTCTAAGCGTTACTTTAAATATAAAATTCTAAGTATACTAAAGTAGTATACTTATTTATATAAGTATTATACTTATAAATAGTAGTATAGTACTACTTTTTATAGTTTTTCTTATTATTTTCTTTACTATAGAAGATACTAATATTAGAGAAGTAAAAGATAACTTTTCTACTAGTTTCTTCTACTAAGAATATAGCTTATATATAAAGGCTAATAGCTAGTATATATTTCTAAGTACTATAGTTATAATTATTATTACTTTAGCGCTTATTATAATAGTAGTTAGAGTCTTTTTAGTAAGGTATAGCTTTACGTTTAGCTATAGCTTTATAGTAGAAGCGCTTATTATTATTATAGTAAGTATAGTTATTATTATAGTAATTACTATTAGTAGTATTCTAATAGAAATAGTTAGTATTATAATATTACTTAGTAGAGTTACGCTATTATTCTTTATAGTTAATATAATTAGTGTAGTTATATTAGAGAATAGTATATAAGTAATAGTTAGGCTTATAAGTCTAAAGCTTTATAATAACTAAGTTATACTCTTACTAGAGTATAGCTATATTATCTTTAACGTTATTATACTTTTTCTAAAGATTATTATAGTTAGTATTCTTATTAGTGTAGTTAAGAAAGTACTAGATAGACTTCTTCTTTTCTTTAGTAATAAAAATATATTAGGTTATAGTAAGAGCGTATTAATCTCTTAGTTACTACGTATATAGGTCTATAGCTTTTTTTAGATAATTATAGTTACTTTAAAACTTCTTTATCTTATTATAAAGATTATTAAGCTTATTCTTATTATCTAGGTTATACTTTTTAAAGTTATTAATATTTTTAGACTACTCTTTAAGAGTTCTAGCTTATACTTTATTAGTAGCTTAGAGTTTATTATAGTTCTTAGTAATAGTTTTAAGCTCTTTTATAATATTATTATAAAGTTAGATATCTTAGCTATTCTTATTTTAGTTCTTAGTATAATAAAGAAAGTATTTAAAGTTCTAAATATAATTTATCTTCTTTTTATAGAAATTATAAAAGATAGTATCTAGTAGAAGAGTAGCTTACTATCTAAGAATATTATAGTTCTTAATAAGAATACCTATAGTAGTTATAATACGTACTACTACTATATAGAACTACTAAGAGTATTAGTTAATAGCTTTTATAAAGTAAGCCTTAGTATTAATAGTAATATAAAGGTAGTTATTAGCGTTTTAGCTTTTTTTAAAGTCTTAGCCTATTATAATAATAAAGTCTAAGTTATTATCTTTATATTAAAAGTAAGAAGTATATAGCTCTAACTATTAACTATTCTTAAGTAAGACGTAAATAATATCTAAGAAGTTAGAGATAATTATCTTAATATAATTCTCTTAAATATCTAGTTTAATATAAGTATTTATTAGCTTATTATAAGTTATAGGCTCTCTTAGTTTAAAGTTAACCTTTTCTAATTTAAAAAGTAGAGAATATAGCTCTAAGAAGCTACTTTAGTAGTAGTTAGATTACTAAATTTTTTCTAAAGTAAAGTTCTAGACTATAGTCTATTAAGTATTCTAGAATAGGCTTTATAAGAGAGCGCTTAGTTAACTAGTTATAATTAGAGCTTATAAGATAGCTAGATATAAGATATTAGAGATATTATAGTCTAGAGAAGATATAGTGTAATTCTTTAAGAGTATAATAAAAAGAAAAAAGAATAGATTACTCTTTTTTAGTAAAAGTATAGTAGAGTTTATTAGTAAAATAAAAGATTTAGCACTTTTATATACTATTATTTACTTATAAATTTATTATATATTATAGTAGTTAATATATAATATATAAATTTACTTTTAACTACTTACTCTAATTAAAGTAAGCTAATTTTCTACTTATTATATTATAACTTTAGTAATAAAGCGTAATATCTTATAATAGTTACTTTCTAGTAGCTAAGTACTTTAATAAAGAGCTTCTAGTAGTACTTATTAGTTACTCTACTTCTATATATTCTTTTAGTATTCTATAATAGTAGTATAAGTGTAAGTAACACTACTAATTATTATAAGTATTAAGTTTACTTTTTAATTTAGATAGTATTAGTAAGACTATAGGTAATTATAAAAGAAGTATAATATTATAGTTATAATAGTAATAGTTATAAATAAAAGAAGAATAAGTATTTATATTTTAAGTATAAAGTAACGTAGAATAGTATAATAGTTAAGTTAAGTAATAATTAAAATTCTATATATAGGTCTATTTAGGTGTAGAATTAAACTTTAATATTTCTTACTTAATTAGAGCTAGATCTAATTAGGTAGAGATTATAGGTTTAATTCTTTATATTAATATAGATATTTTAGCTTTATTTTTTATTATTAGATATATTATTTTTTTAGAGTAAAAAGTTTATTTTAATATACTTATTACTAAGTAATAGCTTACTTATAAGATTTTATATATTTAAAGTACTATAGTATATTAATAATACTTTTTTATTTATAGAATAGTAACTTTTTTAAGCTTATAACTTTTTTAAAACTATTAAAAATACTATTTAAAGAACTCTTTTATAACTAATTTATAAGTCTTTTATTTATATAGAAACTTATAAATAATTAAATAATTATTTTGTCTTTTGTTAAAGAATCTAAATATTTACTAGCAAGAATCTATGTGCAATTCCTGTCGCTCTTTAAAATAATTTCGGAAGCTTAAAACCCATCATAATTCTCCTTTCTGGTCGTGTTCATACTAGTGCTCTAAATTCTCCGCTACCAAACCACGCGGCAAGTCATCACATGGCTTTTGTTCGGCCTGGAGTTCTTAGCCAACAAACTCACTGAGCACCGAGTGTATGAAAACCACGGCTGAGCTCCCTCTTCACCTCTCCATCTACACACCTCTATTCTTCTCCACAAAATACTCTGGAAGAGCTGTTGATGTCCTGTTCCTTCTTCTCCAAAATCATCGCTGACTTCTTCCATGCGTCTGTGGCCTCTCTTCTCAAAAAAGTAATTGATCGACCGATGATCGAGAATCCAGCGCTCCAACACTACGGATGATATGGCCCGACCCAAACAAGCAGACGAAGTTTACATGATCTTCCGTTCTGAATACATCAGCTACGACTACCGTACCCACGTTTCCCATCCTACCGGCCATCTTCAGACGATTCGCCGAAACTATATACCAGAAACATTTCTTCCAAAGTAATGTGCTCATGCTCACGGCAAAAAACATATCTCCAGTAGTCAATGTTATCTGCCAAAGCCTCTTCTCAAGGACGTTATGACCTTTTGTGCGGATTCGGCGTTCGTAAAAGTGCCCTGACTGTGCCTGTAACTTCCAAAGATGATGATACCAACGCCTATGTATGTCAAAAATATGGCGGGGCTTTCCATGGCGTGAAGTGAACCGATGCATCGTTAACGAGCTGAAGAGGTTGCGGAGGACCGCAGACATGGCATTTCGCAAAGTGGGTTTCGTTGGGTCATGGCTAAATGCGGTCAGTATTCACATCACATCACATCACCAGGTCTTTCTGGAGGACAAAATTCTCGTGTACCAAGTAAAAGCAGACACCGTGCTTCTTTCTTGCAAGTTCTACATGGCTCACGAGAACTAGCACTTCGACAGAATAAACGCGGAAAGCGGCTCGAAACCACAGCCCACGAATTGGTATCGCGTGTGAATAGTTTCCCTTCCCATAACCATATCATCAATTAGAGATGTAGACAGCCATCTCATCTCTGTGGCATTTTCGTAACATCGTGGCATCCCAGCCTACCATGAAACCCTGACATATCCTCTCGTATCAAAACTCATCATCCTTCCCGCCCGCAAGACCCAGAACACATAGCCTAGGCACTACCCGGCGGTCCGCCCATGTTCAGAAGGATATCTAACATGTCCATACCACCGATATCCGGTCCCATGGCCGTCTGATTGATCTCCGCACCCCACTGATCCAACAAAGGATCAAGTGGCAGCGCAAGCCAATCCTGATCTTGGCCGGCGCCCCAGCTCGCACCACTATTTGCCCACTGACTCCAGTTGGTATTGTTATTACCGTTGGAGTTGGAGTTGTTTGTATTGTTGTTCTGGTAGTTCTGATAGTTGCCAGGCGGTGGCATGATGCTGATGGAGTTGCTGTTGGGGTCATAGGGCTCGGCTGAAATACCCCAAAGAGGTGTCGCGCGACCACTTGCACCGAGGCCCATACTAGGGGAGCCGGGCACGCTGGTACCAGTACCAGAGAAACCTGTTTGCTGTGATCCCATATATGCCGGTGCAAGGTGGTTGGTGTTGTTGAGTGGAGCAGGCGGAGGCATCAATGGTGCCTGGTTCGGGCTCTTGCTCCCAGCGCGGGATATACCACTCGAGCCGTTGGCAGCAAGGCGCACGAAGCGCGAACGGATGCGGTGGGTCAGGGTTTCGACGAGGTCAGCGAAGCGGTTACCGACGTGCACATCGTCGACTATGCTCGTTCGTAGGGCATCAACTGAGTCGCTGAGCAGGCTCAGGCTGACGGCTACGTCTTCTTCGGTTGCGCCCAACGCAAATGTCTTGAGCAGTATTATGGCCACACTAACGATGCGGAAGAACGTGCGCACTGGCGCATGCCGTAGATAGCCACCAGGATGCAGACCCTCCACCACGACTTTCAGTACGTTGCGTGACGCATCGATGACTTCGTTGATGTAGTGGCGATCGTTCGCGTACCACTTGACGAGTGTACTGAAGGGTATAGCGCCGCCGTCATCGTTACCGGTGCCATTGCTGTTTGGAGTGCGTCCGTTCATACCGTTGGGCTGAGCATGTGTCTGTAGCGGAGTGTTGTGTGTGCAGCGTTCTACCACCGCCTGGAGAGCGAGCGAGTTGAGATAGACACGCGTGTACTCAAACTCGATGATGAGGACGTGGCGGAGTTGCGCCGGAACTAGAGGTTGTTAGACAAAGTGTGTGAGCAGTGCAATAGTAGTCTTACCTTGAGGGGCTCGGTCGAAGCATTTCCGCCACTCCACCAATGGCCCTTGGAAGAACTTTAGCATCTCCTCGTAGCCTCCCGACTTGAGCAACTCCCTGGTCTTGCGTCGATTGGAGAACAACTTCAGGTTTCCCATCTCCATGACCTTGGCAATGCGAGCCCAGAAGTCGAGCACAAGATCTTGAACAGCATGGCGTTCTTGGGTAGCGATGGACTCGAGCGGAAGGCGCTGGCCATCTGAGCGCATTCCAAATTGGGCTGGAGGAGCCTTGATGCGACTGATGCGCTCTTTGTATAGCTCAAGTGGTGAAGGGCCGCCAACTAGATTCTCGTCCCGCTCAAGCTTGGGAAGCATAGAGGTGAGGCCCAGTCTGCCACTGGTCTGGGTGACGTATATGATGAGCAGGTCGCGAAGATGGTTCTTCCTCCGGTAATAGGCCTTCACTGTCGCATGCGAGAGGTGCTGATTTGCCTCTTCGAACTCGGTTTCGTTCGTCTCGTCGAAGACACCAATCTCGAACGCGAGCGTCATAGCGTTGCCCAGCAGCATCCAGCACATGCGATCACTGCGCCAGCACGGCTCCAGCCAACTGTCGATGCGCTTATCGCCCACGCCTTTGTACATATCAGCCTTCGGTCCTGCCTCGTAGGGGTCGTCGGGGAGAACGAGCTCGTCGTCGTCATCACCAGGAGGGAAGTGCAGCGCGCGAGGATGCCATTCGGTAAGGAGCATCAGACTCTCGACTGTGCCAAGTGTACGAAGGCCCTTCCGCGACAGAGGGTTCACGTCGGATCCAGGCTGCTGGCCTGCGCCACAGAAGCCGCCGCCGAACTGCTCTTGTCCGAAGATCATGCGATCTATCATGCCCTGCAGGTACTTCCATAGCTTCTCGTGGATGAGATATGACCGAGATGTTGCGCCAACACCACTCGAGCCGCTGGGTTGAGAATACCTCGCCGAGATGGTCAGTAGGGTGATGACCAGCATAGGCTCCTCCTTAAGCAGCTTTGCGTGAAAGGCATGATCGCGGTAGTCTGGCACAACGATTGGTGTGAGCGGCGATAGGAAGGCGTAGAAGTAGTCGATGTATGCGATTGCCTCCTTTGCCGTGAGCCATCCTGCGCGCACAAAGCGGAACTTTGACCAGGCTCTCACGGCGTCGGCGAAGGCAGCTTCGTTGGGAGGGTCGGGGAGCATGGGCTGCTGTATAGCCGGATCGACCGAGGGCTCGAAGGTGGCGCGCGAGTTGGCGCGCGCATGGGAGGTGTTGGGCCGGGGGCTTGCGAAGTTGGTCTGCGAGCCCGGTGTGCTGCCGAGGGTCGGTCGCTGCATGCTCGAGCTGCTTCCGGTGCGGTGGTGGTTGTTCATGCCCGCCGCCTCGAACAGCAGGTTCAGCGCATCGTGGCCGCTGTAGACCTCGCCCGCCTGCAGCGTCGCGACCGTCTCGTTGTTCACCTTCTGGTCCTCTTCCTCGTTGGGCGTTTGCTGGTGGCCGCCCGACGTGTTCGGCCGTCGCAGCGGTTCGTATCGTCCGATGGAGCCGCCTGGGGTCAGAGGCTGCGATATGTACGCCGGGTTGGTCGTCGTGGTGATCAGAGGCTCCGGCAGGCCATCTGAGCGCTGGCGCTTCCGGCCATTGCGCAGCTCGTAGTCGTCGACCTCGTCATAGTCGTCCTCGCCGTCGGCCTTGCGCTTCCGGCGTGTCGCAGAGAAGAAGCACTCCTTACTCTCCCTCCTGCATCGCACGCAGGGCGGGTCGTGTGGGTTATCTACCGGGCCAAGATCTGGAGATGTCAGCAATTGCGCGATAAGCACGCTGCAGCGTTAACGTACCGCATCGCACCTTCCTGCGTCTGCACGGGATGCAGGCCTGGTAGGTGCGCGTGTGCTGGGCATTCTGCGTGCGCGGCGGTGGAGAAGCGTTGGAGCCCGCCGTCGACATGGTGGTGGTGGATTACGGTCGGCTTGCACCGGCTGAGAGCTGGCGGACTTTGGCTCTGATAAGGGCTGGAATACCGCCGAGGCTCCTCAATCCAGCGAGACGGTACCTGCATGCAATATGCAGCGAGTGTGCGCAACGGTAACGCCTACAGGAAGGTCTTCGTGTATGACTCCGCGTAATTCTGCTACTTGTTATCGTCGACTTGAGCTTACGGTACTGAGGCGTCGAAGGACTCGGGAGCGGGTCACGAGCGCGGGGGCTTTGGCTATTACGGAATGGCGTGTCCGCTCCTCCAATCTTGAACACAACACCACGTAACAGTCGCAAACCCCCTCGGGTACCTCACGATCCACTGCCGGGTCACGCGTTGAGTGTGGCCGTGCAATCCGCTGCTTACGTCAGGCCGACCGATGCGTCCTGGAAGTACCTGCTGCTCACGGCATGTGATATGCTCGTGCACTCTGCGCGTGGCACAGCACCCAATCCGGCCAATGGGCAGTGAGCGGAGACCACGAACGTCATATCCGTCGCCTTTGTCCGTGTCTCCATCTGGCACGGTTGGTGGCTGGGATGTATATTGTCGCTACTCACGCGTCACGAACAGCCCGAGGTCGCGTCTCGATGACATGCCATAGCTTCTACTAGCGCACAATTGCATAAGCATGTACCCAGGTAGGAAGGATGGCTACAGGCCTTTGACAGAAAGCAGAATTATATTTGAGCTGGAGATATGGATGGATGCAACGCCAGCATGCTTAGCACCCGTTAAGCCGGAAGACGAGTACCTTCAACACATCCTCCAACACCCTATGGCCACGCAATGTATCCAGACAGTCATCTCATCAATATCGACATGACAATGTTGCATCTCTCCAAGGTGCGGTCGCTGGCACCACCCCGGGTTCCCTAGCACCAGAACCCACAGGTCATGTCCGAAAGCTGCAACGCCGTTAGTGATCGTACCATCAAGGAATCCCAGGATGACTTACCCTTGGGTGATCGTTCTGGTGATTCTCATCACAGCCAGTCTCGGCGCGCGTCCACGGGTTCCAAGAGCAAATGCCCATCGCATCCGGGGTGTTCTGAGTCAGAGTGCTCCAGTAGCCACCCTTCGGCTCAAACGCAAAGTACATCTGCCTGTCGTCCGGACTATAGACTACAATCAGACCGCCCATGCCCAACAGCCTCACAGCACCCTTGTCGATACGACCGGTCCCCTCGGGGTACGTGGCGACGGATTTGCGGTTGTTGTCTTCGACGCTGTAAAGCATGCCAAGCATCTGGTTGTGCCAGCCTTCAGCGGGCGTGTGAAGACACTGCTGGAAGAGTTGCAGCTTGAAGGAGCAGAAGCCTGGGGCGTAGTCCACAGAGGTTGAGTTGGTGCCGGCTGGACTGGGCGGCATTGAAAGGATATCGGGGATCGCCTCGGAGCGCGCGCGCTTCACGGTGAAGTCTGACTCGGGCTTTGTGCAGTCGAATTCGCAGGTCAGGGCTTGAGACTTCAGAATGGTCAGTGGGAGTAAGCAGAAGAGTATCTTGAGAACTAACTCGATGATTGCGGTCACTATCGTTGCAATCCAGCGGCAGGTTGTCCCACGGCTTAGTGGTGCAGTTGAATTCGCTGTCTCCATTCTGGTTAGGCCATTCAGCGTCGCCGTAGATGACTATCTCGCGTCAGCACTTTTGGAATCCCAGTGGCTCGCGATAGTACACACATCCGATGCTGTCCCTCTCATATCCAATCTTCAGTCTCTTTCCAGCAACCACGCCCGTGAGCGTCTCTCCATCGGTCAAGTCAATGAAGTCGGTTTGCTCCATGAACTGGTTGCCAGCGCCATCATAAACGGGTGAGAGATCGACGTAAGTGTTAGCGTGGTCGTCCCAGCAATCCTGAGTGACGACTGCGTCGAAGGAACAGCGACCGGGTGTGAAGTCGGGACCGACACCTTGAGCGACTACAGAGGTAGTCAACAAGAGGAGCGCGGAGGCGACAAGGGTAGATCTGATGAACATGTTGGTAGTAATCGTGTTTCCAAGGCGGCGGGATGATTGAGGAAGGTAGCAAGGGTAGGAATAGGCTGGGGCGGAAGGTGAGTGTTGTAACAGGTGATATGACGTGATCGCTGGTCGCAAACGCTCAAATGTTGGGCAGTTCAGGTAATGAATGTGTTGCGGTAATCCTGAGAATGAAGGGGTGGTTCAAGGTTAAGAGTGCCCAGGTACCCACTGCACTTTCCTGGGACAGGGTAATGACTGGGCTTTCAGGATCCACGTTCGATCCAAAAACTCGTCTCGTTGCCCGTCCGAGCCGCGATTCTTTGTTTCTGGTGCGAGTCCTCCTGACAGATCCGGCGATCTCGCGTTTGTCATGACGCCAACAAGCCACCTGTCGATGGAATGCTGCCCAAGATGTGAAAAACAACTGTATCGTGTGGTGCATACTCCAATACTTGGCGCTACGTATGTGTAAAATGTCCAACAACTAAGGTGACGCTCACCATTGTCTGATGCTTAGGTATAAGCTTGTAGCATGAGGGCGCGCCGGATCAGGCTGCCAAGGCTGATGCAGGTGTCGTGTCACTTACCCAGGTACTTACCATACGTTCTAGTGTTTGGAAGTTGGAAAGCGTAGTGCATGCAGGAGATTCAAACAAACGATCATTTTCTACCTTCGAACATGACGCGTGACTATGCGTGTACGATCCGTTGCACCGAAGAAGCTACAAAAAGCGTGCTGGCTAGGTATAGTCGCAGCTACCAGTGATTTGTCGTTTTTCGGACAAAGCATGAGAGCACGCTCGCCATGTTTTCAGACGCTCGGTTGACTCACAATCAGTTTTACTTAACATATAATCTGCGCAGTTCATTAATCATCTGCGAAGTGTCTAGATCAACTCTAGTGATCGATCCGACATGTCACTTAATGCATCCTCATCCCTCGCAGACGACTCGACGAAAGCGCCACTGTACGAGATACGACCAGTTACAGGGAAAGGAAGAGGCATTGTAGCTTGCTCTAACATACCGAAGGGAACACGAATCCTGTGTGAGAAGCCACTTCTTACATTGGCTAGCAAGATTGATAGCCTCGATGATAACATCATGAGGAAGGTTCAAGCTCTCTCCAAGGATCAACAACGCGAGTATCTTAGTCTCTACAACACCCACACAAACGGCAATAAGTTCACCGGTATCTTTCAGACAAATGCTTTACCATGTGAGTCGACACCGTCGACCGTCGGCATTTTCCCGACTATCTGCCTGATCAACCACTCTTGTGTACCCAATTCACAGCATAGCTGGAACAGCATGAAGAATAGCCAGATGATACATGCAGTTAGGGACATTGAAGAGGGAGAGGAGATCACGATTTGCTACGCCGGGCAAGGGGCTTTCGACGCGCGACGTGATTATCTAACTAAATCGTTCGGTTTCGAGTGCGACTGCAGTGTCTGCTCGCTTCCATTACCGGAAAGACAAGAGAGTGATGCTCGCCGTATTCGCATCGAGCAACTTGACAAGGTCATGGGTAATGTGGAGCGCGCCGTATCCAAACCAGGTATTACAGCCTCCGCCGACCCCATTCTGAGGCACATTTCGCTAAGTCATGATAGTAAGCACAACCTTTCAGATCGAAACCAGACACGAGAATGAGTTTCCGCACACCTTCTATGACGTCCGCTAACTTTTGCTCGTGTGCTTTAGGGTGAAGTTTTAGCGCACTGCCGACACATGGTACGTCTCCTAAATGAAGAATTCAGAGGTTGCGCCACTACCATGGAGTCGAGACTATATTTCGACGCCTTCCAGGTCGCTATCATGCATGGTGATCAAGCTCGTGCCAGCGTTTTCGCGGGAAGAGGTTACGACGTCCGGCTCGTTTGCGACGGAGGGGATAGTTTGACAACACAGACGATGAAGAATTTCCAAGTCGACCCACATACACACCACCTCTTTGGATATTCTTCTCTGATATGGAAAACGAGTCAAGGTGATATTCCCGAAGGTCTGAGTGAGACGGAGTTTGAAGACTGGCTCTGGCGATCGCAATCAGGTTAATCTGCGAACTCGAAGGTGTGAGAAATACCCATGCACGTGTTACAATGTCGATTTCATGGTGTGGGAGTAAACAGTGTGTTTGAGGGGTGATAGAGCGGCTTGACAGCGTGATGAGATCCTGGTTTGCGCTTAGCTGGTGTAGAAAAGCTCACTCACTCATGATCTATTTCTTGTTTACCCCTACCCTTCTATTGCCCTCGTTCATCACACAGCGAGCGCAGTGAGATCTCTGCCCAAGCAACACAAGAGCGTGATAACTACTAAAGTTTGCTTTCGCCTCAGCGGTCGCAAAAGATATACTTGACTGCTGCAATTAGTTTCACTATTGTCGCATCCCATACAATGAGTTCCTCACTCTACGATGTTCGAAAGATCCCCGGAAAAGGTAGAGGCCTGGTCGCTCGCTCCGACATTCCTGAAGGCACCCGTATCCTCTCCGAGAAACCGCTGCTCATGATACCTAACAACATGTCCAACGAGCAACTAGAGACTCGACTAGCACGAGATCTAAAGGCCCTGGACAAGACTCAGCAGCGACAGTTCTTTTCCCTTCACAACAGCTACACTGGCAAGTACGTCCTCGGTGGTATCTTCAAAACAAACTCGATGGCTTGCGGCAGCGACTTGTCTGCTATTGCAATCTTTCCTACCATCAGCTTCATCAATCACAGCTGCCTTCCAAATAGTCATTACAACTGGAATGACTCCATCGGGATGCAGACGATCCATGTTACTCGCGATCTCCGTGCTGGAGAAGAGATAAGTATCTGCTACACCGACTCTGGAAGTGCCAGTGTTCGCCAAGCTTACCTGAAAAAGCATTTCGGGTTCGACTGT